CCCACCACCACCACCGCCCCTCCTCCCGCCACTCCTCCTCCAGTATCAGCTCCCCCACCTGCCACTCCTCCTGCCACTCCCCCTCCGGCTTCCCCACCTCCAGCCACTCCTCCTCCGGCATCCCCACCACCGGCCACCCCTCCTCCAGCTTCCCCACCTCCAGCTTCCCCACCACCAGCCACTCCTCCTCCGGCATCCCCACCGCCGGCCACTCCTCCTCCAGCATCCCCACCACCGGCAACCCCACCACCTGCAACCCCACCACCAGCCACTCCACCTCCTGCACCACTGGCATCACCACCAGCGGCGGTTCCGGCTCCTGCACCCAGTAAGAAGAAGTTGAAGGCGGCTCCGGGTCCGGCCCCAGTTTCGAGCCCGCCGATGCCGTCGGCGGAGGGTCCAGGACCCGCGGGCCCAGAATCTCCTACCCCATCTCAGAACGACAATGTAAGCTTCATTATATACTTCGATTGATCATACATTAATCTTCTACTAAAATTTTAAAGTTTAAATTTTGATGTTATTAAACTAATAATTCTACCTTTTCAAATAATTTTTTTTACATTCATAAAAAAAATGTAACTCAATTTTTACATTTTTTTTAAAATTTAAAATTATCATACACAAAATCAAGAGTTAAGACCTTCGATCTTAGATCTCGTGTAAATTAAAATTTTACGGTCCTATTACATATAAAATTTATTTTAAAATCATTTAGAAATCTACTCGAAAGCTAATTAATACACACGAAATTAAAAGTTTAGAAATTTATTACACACCCTTTAAAACCCGTAAACTTTTATAACACGAGCATGAACGAAAACTTCTAGATCTTCTTGCATTTCACATTACGTTTTTGGTTAATCATTATCATCGAACACATTCACGAAAATGCTAACACGACATGTCGGGTTGATGGACATTATTATTATTATTTGCAGAGTGGAGTGGAGAAAAGTTGGAGAAAGGAGACAATGGTGGGGAGCATGTTGATTGGAATGGGATATGTATTGATGATGGCTTAGATTTCTTCCTTTTTTCTATGCTGTCTATGTTGGGTTTTCATTATTCTTCATTTTGCCTGTTCCTTATTTCATTTCATTTTGATTATTATTATTATTAGCCCATTTCTTGTTTGGGACTTTTGATCTCCATATATATAAATACCCATTTGCTTCGGTTCTGTTCTTTTGACTTAGTTTAAAAATGTCAGAACGTTTTAAAGTTATGAGTTTGAATAATTCAATGCGTGTATCTGAAATGTTATGTTGAAAAGTGTTTTAGAAGTGTCTCGGTTTAGATAATATTAGAAAATTTGAATGGTAGAACTAGTTTTTACGATCATATTCTCGTAAATTTTGACTATTTAACCCAATGTTAATGGTTAAAGAATTGAGGTAAAAAATTTGGGTGAAGAATTGAGAATAGGACGTTTTTCCTTGCCAAGAGGGGAAGGAGAGCAGCTAAATTTGGTTGTATTTGTCCCACATCGAGAAAGTGTGAGGAGGTGGCTGTATGCGGGGCCTATAAATATGATGGGAGAGGTACGTTGTAACATACTTACCTGGACGGGGTCAATGGGCGATCATGAAGGCTCATGGCCTAGATTGGTGACCTCCATTGCACTGTGGAAGGGGTGCCCGTCTAAGGTCTGCCCAAAGTGGCGGAACCTACGTCGTTATTTGTGGTAGTGGGGGCCTGCGTTCGCGCGGCCCCTGTCAATTTGCAGTCCAAATACATTCTTTAAAGTTATATCCGTGTTCATAATAAATTTACGTTCTTTTAAATGGATTTATACCTTCAAATCTTGTATGGCCATTTTGTTCCAAAAAAACTTTAAAATCTTTGTTTCATTGTAAACAATTTTATAGTTTTGGTTTTTTGTTTGGTACTCATTTCCCTTTTATTTGGTACTATTATACATATTTTGTGACATGTGACACAAAATGTCTATGTTATGTCCGATTTGTCCAGCAATATTATAGATGCATGCACAGAGTTCTGTTCTCATACTATAGATGCATGCACAGAGTTCTGTTCTCGTGTTATTTAGTTTGAGAAATTTGGATCAAAATGAAAATCACAAATCTAGGAGTTTTGAAGATGACATTGTCACAAATCTAGGAGTTTTGAAGATGACATTGAGGACTAGAAAATAAATTTTTGAAGCTCGAGATTTGTGGAGAGAGTATCAGATATGAGATACTATCCCGTTAGACCTGATCAATGCTTATCAATAATTATAGGATGATGAATCCCCGTTTAAATGGAGAATGATGGAAGGAGTGAAGATATTTTCTCCCTATTAGTTAAACGGGGATAGGAACAAAGATTATATTCCTCATCCCATGTCCGCTCTTAGAGCCCACAAAATTCCCATATACATATGGGAAAAAAATTTCGTGGAGAACCAATCTCTACAAATATAAGTAGGGGTAAAATGATTGCTAAATAAACGCATTCAATACCTTGTGAGGTTTCTTCTATGGGATTACCAGCTTCATTTGCCTTTCAAGCTCACTCAACGTACTGTATAACAGATCCACACAAGGATGTGATTTGGTTGCCGAGAAGAATTCATGCACAGTCCCATCTATACTGATCCAACTCCGCCCTGGCTGCTTATGAACACCCTTTTCTCTCATAAACCATCTCAAAGCCGAGACATCATCCCATTGAAGATCAGTGGCAAATGAATTCGCCTGCATTACATACCCAGCAGAGCTTTCGGGATCTACTTCAACAAGCTTTTTCGAAACATATCGTGCCAACTCGAATCTCGAATGAAGCAGGCAGCCTCTCAGCAGAGAACTCCAAACAAAGTTATTAGGTTCAAAAGGCATGGTTGAAACAACTTCAAGAGCGTCCTCGACGCAGCCCGCTCGAGCAAGGAGATCAATGTAACAAGCATAGTGGTCTAGACTAGGCGACGTTGAGTAGCGGGTAGCCATTTGAATGAAAATTTGACGTCCTTGTTCGAGAAACCCCGAATGGCTACAAGCAGATAGTAAGCCAATGAATGTTCCAGTGGTTGGTTTTATATCAGACTCTTGCATTTGGGAGAAAAGCTTCAATGCCTCATCGGCTTTGCCGTTTACTGCAAGGCCCATGATCATGGCATTGAAGGAGATTACATCTTTGCAGATTAGTTCATGAAAAACTTGTTTTGCCTTCTCCAAACTCCCACTTTTACAATACATATCAATCAATGCAGTGGCCAACATTTTGTTTGATGCAATGATACCTCTGCGCCCGCCGTGTTCGAGAGCTTCATGAACCCGACGACCGAGCTGCAAATCTCCAATTTGAGCGCAAGCCGAAAGGACGGTAACCATTGTGACATGGTTGGGTTTGCAATGGGGATTCTCAAGCATTAGACGGAAAAGGGTCAAGGCCTCCACAGGGCAACCGTTTTGAAAATATGCATTTATCATTGAATTCCAGACAATAGCACTTCTCTTATCAACAATTTCATTGAACTTTTCTTCACTCTTTTCAATCTTCCCCCACTTCCCATATAGATAAACAAGAACAATATTGATTGAATCACAACAGGAATCAAATTCATTAACCAATTGTGTTAATTCTGCAACCCATTTTTCAATTTCAGCAATTTGAAGCTTAGAACAAGCAGATAGAACACTAACCATGGTGTCATCCTCGGGCTGGATATTCTCTTTGATCATCATCACAAAAAGCAGCAGAGCCTTTTCAGCAAGACCCATATGAGCATAGCCAGCAATCAAAGAAGTCCAACAACAAGCCATTTCTCTCTCAGACATTTCGTCGAACATGTTATGTGCAGAACCCATATCCTTCAAACCTCTCGCGTAGACTCCAAGAAGAGCATTGGAGATAAAAGAATCACCCAAATAACCCATTTTCATGACATGAGTATGAACTTGTTTCACATTAGGAGAATGGCTGGAACGGTGAAACGCCTTGAGAAGGAAAGAAAAAGTGAAATCATTAGGGGAAAGTGAAAGCCGCTTCAAAGATTTGAAGATGGAAAAGGCAAGAAACGAACAATTCGATTCAGCAAGTACTCTGATAATCGCGTTGCAAGGAAATATGTTCGGCCGTAGGAGTTGATTGAAGACTCTGATTCCAACAGAATATGGGTAGTGGCCGATAAGTCGAGTTGCGATTAGATTGTCCTGATGCTTCAGCAGACGAAAGACGCGGCCGTGAATTTGACGGAGGCGGGAACTGTTAATCCGGCCTTGGAGGAGGTCGGAGAGATTGATGAACTCAAGATTTATACACGAAGAGCGCATAGCATAAGATTTGCCATTAACCATTTGCGCTTTGGCTTCTGAGACACATCATCGAACACTTCCCGATCATGAAATTCATCCACTAAACAAAGAACAGAAGGAGAAGCACACGCAGATCTTTACTGGAAGAAATCCAGAATCCCGGCGAGGCTAAAGCCGACCGAAGAACTTTCTTCTACAACCGGCGCGAGGGTAATTGCCAGAACAATGTTTAAATAAAAATAAATGTAATTTCCAAAATTTGTGGAACACTAAAACGGTGCGTTTTGGATTTTTTTAAAAAAAATTTTGAGTTAAGTGAAAATTTTATTAATTGAGTTATTTATGAGTTCTCCCATTAACCAAATTTATTATTTATTAAAAAAAATATTTTTATCCAATTATATAGACATATTTATTTTATTTTCATTTAATTTGAATTAAGTTCCTAAATTATTTAATATTTTTTAAATTAATTAATTTATTGGACATCAAATTAAAGGGTATTTTTATAAATTCTTAAAATTCTAATTTTATATATAATATTAAAAAAATCTAAAATAGGCTTAAAATAAATATATTAAAGACCTAAGTTAAAAATTTAAGGATTTATTCGACACAAAATCTAAAATTTATGGACATATTAAATATTCGGTAACTTATGGAATAAAAATTGAAAATTTAACATCTTTTAAAAAATTCATAAATATATTAGACATAAGTCTAAATTTTTATGAACTAAACTCGTAATTTAATTTTTTTAAGTTCAATTAAGAGGTCGGACCCTTCACTGTTATATAGGGGAGTATATTGAACCCGACAACTCGAACCGACCCAACCCAAATTATAGGGGTTGGGTTGGGTTGAGTTAGTGTTTCGAGTTGGGTTAGGTGAATTTTCTGAAATAAAATAATATTCGGATCGAGTTTTGAGTTCACTAGACATAATTTCGGGTTTGTAAAAAATATTCTGTTCGTGTTTCGGGTTTTACGAACTTCATAATTATTTTTTTACTCTTTAGAAATTTACTAAATATTATTTATAGGTTTAATCCCCAAATTTGCCATTTGAGCCGAAATATTAAATAAGGAAATCCCTAAAATATCCATATAAGTAGGCCGGCCTACTTTGACCAGAAATTGGGCCGGCCCATTTACTAGAATAGGCCCAGAGCCCAATAATGGCATTGTTGTAATTCCAGCGAACCTGAATGGATTAACGCGCGTTCAGACTTTCGACTTTCGAGCTTCTCGGCCTCACCGCTTCATCCTCGCTCTATCCATTTTTCGAACGTGCACACAACCAGTCGTCAGTTCCGGCCATGGCTTTCGTCTCCACCTTCGTCTCCGGCGAACCGTCGCTCCTCGTCGCCAGAGCCTCCGCTGTCGTCTCCTCCGTCAAGCATCCCTATCAACTTCCTCTGCCTAATTTGCGCTTCTCCCGCACCATTACCTTCGCATCCGCCTCCAACCAGACCACTGCCTCCTCCCGGCAGCCCCGTGGCATCATGAAGCCCCGGAGGATTTCGCCGGAGATGCAGGCGCTTGTTGGTGCTCCCGAGATTTCTCGTACCGAAGCCCTTAAGGTCATTTGGACTCACATTAAAGAACATAATCTTCAGGTAGACTCTCTCCTTTCTCTGTTGTTTTTCATTTTTCTTTTTTCTTTCGTCGTTGTTCTTTCATTCATCTGTTGATGTTACTAGTTTTCGGAGAATAATCCTTCAAGTTTATGGTATTTTTTTTCTCGAGTTCTGTTGTTTGATGTATCGCCATGGATGAAAAATATCTTGTGCTGAAATTAATCCAACATCTCCTTCCAGAACAAGACATTGGATCTTGTTCTTTAGAATTTTCTTACAGTTAAATCATTTGTTTCTTCCACTCTTAAATCATTTGTTTTGAAGATGCTTTAGATGTGACCTTTTTTATTAGTGAAGTTCGTAAGTTTAGGAGACAGAGTTGTTGGGTTCTGAGGAGGCTGTAAGATGTATTGGCATGGCTTGAAAATGTCTTGGTCTGAAACGAGGGTTTTGTAGGTTGATGTACACCTAAGTCCACTGCTAGCCGATGTTGTCATACCGGGCGGTGTGCCATCGTAGATGCTGGTCCTCGAAGAGGGTGGATACGATTGAAGATGAGAATGAAACATTTTTTATAAGGCTGTGAAAACTACCTCCTAGCATACCCGACAATATCTGCTAGCAATTAGGGCTTAGGGTTTAGAAATGAGGGGTTGAAAGCATAGAACCTCACAACCTTGAAGTTGAGTCGATTTGTTGTTTTGTTTCGATTATTTCTTCATTCTTATAGAAAGTTAGTGACAAAAAAATCATAATTTGCGACATAGTTAGCTCCTTGGAAATCAAGGGTTCAAAGCACGAAACCCCCCCATAACTCCATAACTCCAATGTCGAGGTGATTCTTTAATCATAATTTGCAAAGTAGGCTCCTTAGAAATCAGGGTTTCAAAGCACGGAACCCCAAAACCCCGAAGTCGAGTTGATTTGTTGTTTTGTTTATGATAATTTCTTCATTCTTATAGAAACCTAGCGACAAGAAAGCCATAATTTGCGACATAGTTGGCTCCTTAGAAAATCATTTAATTTGGGACGTAGTTAGCTCCCTAGAAATCAAGGGTTCAAAGCATAGAACCCCAGAACCCTGAACTCGAGTCGATTCATTGTTTTGTTTCTAATAATTTCTTCATTCTTACAGAAACCCAGCGACAAGAAAATCATAATATGCGACGAGAAGCTGAAGAAAATATTCGGAGGGAAAGACGAAGTCGGGTTTCTGGAGATTGCAGGGCTAATAAGTTCCCACTTTCTATGATGATTTGAAGAATGGAAGATGAACTTTGTTTGTTCGTTTGTTTCGGGAGTCGCTCAGGTATTATTGCTCACTGAATCCTGCAGTTCATAGCCCTCTTTTTGTTAAGTAGTTGGATAGAGAAGAAGCTTTTGTAAGAACATGTTTATGTAGGGATTGTTCTATGCAAATCTTTGTTAGTCCTTAGTTTGGGTAAAAATGTGTTACTTTTGTACTCTACATGCCTGCTTTTTCTGCTTCGGTTCGCCCTATCTTAGTCTCGAGTACCTCGACGTATAAAAATTAGTCAATTTGACACTCACTCCGTGGCTGTCGTTCTCGTGGTGAAACATGGTATTATCTATTGGTATGTCGTTACTTAAACTAAACAATACGAGCTTCTAAACGTACTCCATATAGTTTAACGAATGTCGTTACTCTACAAATTTTAAAATTTCATTCGAATCCCGCAATTTCATTTTAGTCATGGCTTCCCACGGTTTGGGTCCGGCAATTTCATGACTTCCCATGGTTTGGGTCTTGCGATTTCATTTTAGTCTAATACTCTCGATTGTTCAAATTTAGTATAACGATTATATTTCACATAAAAGGACAATATTGACCGAAATAAATATTATAATATTAGTATTATGAAATTAAAATATTATAATAATAAGAATTAAATTTAAAAAATAAAAACGCTAACAATATCGACCGAAATAAATATTTAAATATTTAATTTTTTTTAATGTGAAAAAATATATATTTTTTTAGATTAAATTCAAATTTTAGGAAAAAAATTGTAGAAAATAAAAATTTTATAAAATTTATTGCTGTAAAAAAAAAAAAAATAAATAAAATATCTTCATCTTCAAATCCAGAGAGACCACAACTTCAGTTAAACCCCTACTGCAAAATCCTCAACCCCGCGAAGCTCTGCGGTGGCCAAAAATGGCGGACAAGGTTGCTCTTCCCCTCCTCCTCCCCAATCCGCCGCCCTCCAAGCCCCTCTTCCCTGTCTTCCACCACCAGCCTGCTTCACACTCTTCTCCGCCGCCGCCGTCGCTCTCTTCTTCTTCTTCTTCATCGTCATCATCCCACATATCCCCTATTCTCCAAGACCTACTTCTTCCCCACAAAGACTCCTCTTCCCCTCGACCACATCTTCCCAAATCCACTTTCAAATCCCGCGGCCGAATCGGCCGGTCCCGCGACCCGAACCGCGGGAAGCCATGGTCGCACCACCGTCTCTCTACTCAAGGTCAGCGAATTCACGATTCTTTACTTAACCCCGAATTCGATGCCTCCTCGTTGAATGAAATTTTGCTTCAATTGTTTGAAACCAGTCCCGAAGGACTTAATTTCACCTCCGAGTCTGTTTCCTTAGACATTTTGGGGATAATCAAAGGGTTAGTGTTTAACAAGAAGAATGAATTGGCCTTGCGTGTGTTTGATTTTTTTCGCAATAGAGAGGATTTTGCTTCCATTTTGAGTAGCTCTGTGATTGCTGTGATTATTAGTGTACTTGGTAAAGAGGGTCGGGCTTCTTCTGCTGCTTCTTTGCTTCATGAGCTTCGAAATGATGGAGTTAATATAGATATTTATGCTTATACTTCTTTGATAACTGCTTATGCTAACAATGGGAGGTATAGAGAGGCTGTGATGGTGTTTAAGAAACTGGAAGAAGAAGGTTGTAGACCAACATTAATTACTTATAATGTTATCTTGAATGTCTATGGGAAAATGGGAATGCCTTGGAGTAAGATTGCTGCTCTTGTCGATAGTATGAAGAGTTCCGGGATTGCCCCGGATTCGTATACGTATAATACGCTTATTAGTAGTTGTCGTCGGGGGTCATTGTATGAAGAAGCTGCAGAGGTGTTTGAGGAGATGAAAGCAGCTGGGTTTAGTCCTGATAAGGTTACTTACAATGCGTTGTTAGATGTGTATGGGAAGTCTCGGCGGCCAAAGGAAGCCATGGAGGTTTTGAAGGAGATGGAAGCGGGGGGGTTCGCGCCTAGTATTGTTACTTACAATTCGTTGATATCGGCTTATGCACGGGGTGGTTTGTTAGACGAAGCTATGGAGCTAAAAACACAGATGGTGGAGAAGGGGATTAAGCCTGATGTTTTTACTTACACCACATTGTTGTCTGGTTTCGAGAAGACGGGAAAGGATGACTATGCGATGAGAGTATTTGAGGAGATGAGAGCTTCGGGGTGCCAAGCAAATATATGCACGTTCAATGCGTTGATTAAGATGCACGGTAACAGGGGTAATTTCGAGGAGATGATGAAGGTTTTCGAAGAAATTAAGAGATGTGAATGTGTGCCTGATATTGTTACCTGGAACACACTTTTGGCAGTGTTTGGACAAAATGGTATGGATTCTGAAGTCTCAGGAGTATTCAGAGAGATGAAGAGGGCAGGTTTTGTGGCTGAGAGGGACACTTTTAACACTCTCATGAGTGCCTATAGCAGGTGTGGCTCTTTCGATCAAGCAATGACTATCTATAGAAGAATGTTGGATGCCGGGGTGACTCCTGATCTGTCGACTTACAATGCTGTTTTGGCAGCGTTGGCTCGGGGAGGCCTTTGGGAGCAGGCGGAGAAAGTTCTTGCTGAAATGAAGGGTGGTAGGTGTAAACCGAATGATTTAACGTACTGTTCTTTACTTCATGCTTATGCCAATGGCAAAGAGATCGAGCGGATGTCTGCACTTGCTGAGGAGATCTATTCCGGCGACATTGAACCTCAAGCTGTGCTTTTGAAGACACTGGTTTTGGTTTATAGTAAAAGCGATCTCTTGACGGAGACAGAACGTGCTTTCTTAGAATTAAGGAAACAAGGTTATTCGCCCGATATAACGACTCTAAACGCTATGGTTTCTATTTATGGTAGGAGAAGGATGGTTTCAAAGACGAACGAAATTTTGAACTTCATAAACGACAGTGGCTTCACTCCAAGCTTAACAACATACAATAGCTTAATGTACATGTACAGTCGTACCGAGCATTTCGAGAAGTCAGAGGAAGTCCTAAGGGAAATTATTGGTAAAGGAATGAAGCCCGATATCATTTCATTTAATACCGTTATTTTCGCCTACTGCCGAAATGGTCGAATGAAAGAGGCCTCGCGGATATTTGCAGAGATGAAGGACTTCGGGATCGTCCCTGATGTAATTACATATAATACCTTCATTTCATGCTATGCAGCTGATTCCATGTTTGTAGATGCGATTGACGTGGTGAGGTATATGATCAAGAATGGATGTAGGCCGAATCAGAACACATACAACTCTCTAGTAGATTGGTTCTGTAAGCTAAATCGTCGGGACGAGGCAAGTAGTTTCGTCTCCAACCTTCGCAATCTCGACCCACACATAACTAAAGAAGAGGAATGTAGGTTGCAGGAGCGTCTGAGTAAGAAATGGTCATAGCAATGAACAATGCAGCTTGCATCGTGGGAGATGCCTACTTCAGACCCGAAAGAACCGAACCGCTCAATCGGGGTGCGGAAGGTCAACTATGGCTTCGTAGGAAGACCTGATGCTACACTAGATTGGAAACTTGGTGCTCATCGTGGAGGGATCAGCATAATTATATCCATATTCTGTATAAAAGAAGTGTGGAAGCACCAGCGTTAACATCTGTAAGTAAAATCATAGCTCTTAATATCTTGTCAGATGATACCATGTCTGGTTGATTGTGTTGATAGATTCGATATCTTAAATCATGTGTGGTTCCTCTGTTTATAGCTGTCTCAAAATATTGATGATAATAATGATAAATTGTGAATGGTGATCGAGTTAGATTTGATAGAATTCTGCCCATGAGACTTCTGAAAGAAATTTAGTTCGTGAAAGTGAACTTGATTTTTGTGTTGATTTTATATAGGTGTAGTAGTATAGTCTCTATTTCTAAAGTATGATCTTTTGATTCTTTCGGTAACGGTCAGGTCCACCGCTAGTAGAGATTGTCCTTTTTGGGCTTTTCCTTTCGGACTTTCCCTCAAGGTTTTTAAAACATGTCTGCTAGGGAGAGGTTTCCACACCCTTATAAAGAATGCTTCGTTCTCCTCCCTAACCGATGTGGGATCTCACAATCCATCCTCTTTCAAGGCCGAGCGTCCTTGCTGACACTCGTTCCCTTCTCCAATCGGTGTGGGGCTCCCCTCACCCCCTTCGAGGCCCAGCGTCCTTGTTGGCACACTGCCTCATGTCCACCCACTTCGGGTGACACATCGCCCGGTGTCTAGCTTTGATACCATTTATAACGACCAAGCCCACTGCTAGCAGATATTGTCCTCTTTGAGATTTTCCTTTCGGGCTTCCCTTCAAGGTTTTTGAAATGTGTCCTTTAGGGAGAGTTTTTCACACCCTTATAAAGGATGTTTCGTTCTCCTTCCTAACCGATGTAGGATCTCACACTTTCTCACAATTACTTGGCTTGAGGGTGGATGATGACTCGAGTAGCTTGTCTATCCTAGCTTACTAAGTTTTTAGGAACAACTTTCGACTAGCACCTGGATTGTTGATCTTCTGATCGACACTTCGTTAATCTTATTAGAGAATCGTTCAAAATGTTGAAGTCTTATGTTCTAGACGACACTTCAATTTATCTTGGAATTTTTTTTAGGTCTTCAAAGAAGATTTTGGTTTTTGAAGCCTTATCATCTACAAAGTGTTCGAACTTTGAAGTTTTCTGTCTTTGGAGTCTTGTGAGTTCTCTAACAATTAGATCAAATCTTGTGCAGGTTTGGGATCAATTAGCTTAAGTATATAATTAACTTCTGGACTTATTTGATCTTGGATCAAATGGTATGTCACAATTTGACTGAACTAATCTCATTTTTTTTATTAGAGATTCAAATCTTCTCCTGATATCGTTGAATCCAAATCCTACCACTTGAAGCTTTTGGCTATCCATTAGGAACATGCATCGAAAGACTACCGAAATCAGCATCGTGACTCACGATTGATATCGTTGATATCAGCATCATGACGCGCTGATATCGTTGATATCAGCGTCGTAACTCACAATTGATATCGTTGCATGTCGATGCCCACCTAGGAGTACTCAAAATTTCCAAGAAAGCATGTAAAACTAAAGATATAATGTAAAAGGGGGAAAAGTGCCTGCCATTATTGAATTTCATAAACCTCTTGCAAGTCAATGGTGGAAAAAAGATCCAATCAGAAACCAAGAAAAAAGGTTATCAAAGCCAGCTGATTCCCATTAG